AAAGATTGTGACAATGCAATAATAATCATGTTACACTGATACTCCCTCCTTCAGGCATTAATAAGTGAGGTTTTGAGATTGTATGAAGTTAATCATTCCAATCATCGTCATTAAAAATAAACATTGTTACACACATTGAGTTTTGTTGCATAATTGAAAGTAATATGAGTATACTTGTATAGAAAATAGTCTCATATAGAATAGTATATTTTCTGTGTTATAAACATATTATCTAACAGATAAGTGCATAACTAGAAGACAAAGTTGTGTTTGGGACACCACACGTGGATGTTTATAAAACATGTCTCAAAACATCAGTTAGTCGTGACTTGTGAGTAGAGGGACAAAGCGCAAAACTCATGTTTATTTTCCTTCCAAAACACACTTTACCTATAGTATGAACACACTCAACATTCTGCTGAACTGAAGCACTACACATATGTTCAGGACTGTAGCTAATAACTCATATATATATATATATATATATGAAATCTTCTAACCACTCAGATGAACACTGGAGTACGTAGAGGTCATGAAGCAAGTGGATCAATTACTACTAGCTTAGTAGTCTTTTCTACCAAAACAAAACCAATTCAAGAGACGACATACGTGTCATTACACGTAGGATCACGTTATTAGCTAGACAAGTTGTTACACTTTGTTATACACATTTAATATATGTATATATTCGAGGGACATGAAAGAATTTCTCAAGCCAAGGAGGTGAGAATGCATGGTGACATTGGTGTGACCGGGACTTCATCGTCGACGACAGGTATACCAAGCTATCTGCTGTTACAGAGCAGCGCGATGATGTCGAGCGCGACGGAGCAGAGCTGCCTGAGCGTCTCCTCCCGGGCCGCGAGCTCAGCAGGGTACTGGCCGGGCCTCTGCCGCCGGAACAGCGTGCGGCACACCTGCGGGTACTCGGCGGCGGCGCTGACGTGCACGGAGGCGAAGTCGTAGTCCTCGAGCGCGATGGAGTCCCCGGCGGCGGACAGCGCGTCGCGGGCGCTGGCGTACTTGGCGGCGCAGGCGTGGAGCAGCGCCTGCACCGTGCCGTCCGTGGAAGTAGCTGTGCCCGCCGGGGCGGTGCCGTTCGCCGCCAGCGCCGCGGCGGTGGCCGCGCCGCCCGAGGCGTTGGCGGCCGCGACGGAGACCGCGATGGCCGACAGGCCCCGCACGTCGGCCGTCGCGCTCGACGGGTCGGCGCCCAGCGCGGACACGCACAGGTCGTAGTACGCCGTGGAGTTGCAGGTCGCGCGCACCAGCGCCGGCGCAGGCGGGGAAGCAGAAGGTGGTGAGGACGGAGTAAGCGGCGGCGGGTGCTTGGCCGACGGCGACGACCTGTGGCCGTGGCCGTGGCTTTTGTGCGCGGGCGTCGGGCCGGCGCGGGAGGAGAGTGTGGCGAGGGGGAGGGCTGCCAGGAGGAGGAGCACCAGGAAGTTCTTGGTGGTGGTTGCTGCTGCCATTGCTGCTATTGCGAAGAGAGTAGAGAGAGACGAGCTAGCATAGCTTGTGTTTAGCTTGTTGCCGTCACTTGTCTTTGGCTGTGATCGACGATGAGCTTGTGAAGGGAGGAGGCAAGCGAGTGATGGCGTTTTATAGGAGGAGAGCAATGCATACTGCCTACTAGTTGAGGAGTCCACCGCGTATGACCACCGTGCCGCGTATGCTCGTTTCTTCCAGACAACATTTGTTCAGTGCTTAGCTAGCTACCATAGGTTGTTACACACACTTACACTAGGTGGTTAGGCAAACATCAACCTAGATAGGTTCTCTCTCGTTGCTAGAATTTGGCAATGGGAAGGAAGTTTCTTCTAGTCAGTCAAGATGATCCCGCGTCTTACGGTATATATTTTTCAACTAAGTTACCTAGCTATTAAAGAAGTGAATTACCCACATTTCTATTTTAAGTTAATAAACTGGCTAGCTACTGCATGCCACTCAAGAGGTCTCAAGTTCGAATCTAGGCAGAGGGAAGACAATCAAAATAAAATAACTCAAGCGAGCCCCTAAATTTCCATGTTTGAAACTTGAGAGTCTGCTCGTGAGTGTGGGTGGTGAAGTATAAATGGATATTTCTTCATTAGTTTAAGCTTTTGGATTAATCTGGTCCATTCGCCCCAAAACAAATACACATCTTATTTTTCAAAGAGCCAAAGTTTTTAAAGTCTGCACAAAAATATATAACAAAATGATGTGTAGTAAATATCAATAGACTAGTCGTGGCATAATTTTCATATAAATTTATTTAAATATACAAATGTTGACACTAGTTGCTATAAAGTTAGTCAAATTTAGAAGTGTCTGATCTTTTGAGAAACGAGATGTGCAATTATTTGGGAACAGATCGAGTGCGTGTGTCTTCAAGATTTGTGCAGATTTGGAATTTTATAAGACGATGGACTTTTATGTTTTGTAATTTTATAAGATGATGAATGATGAGAGATGAAAGGGGGTGAAGTGATAAAATAATAAGATTCTAATTAAGTTACAGCCATAAATATAAATACCACATGTTGTTTACTTGGAGATTGGAGTGCGCGCTAACAACGGCACTGAAAAGACTAGCTAACTTTTGGAAATAAAGCAGCAAGGTCAAGTTGCTCTCGACAAGTAGACATCATTGGTCCTTTTTTATTTTTTGATTTACTCTCCCTTCGTTTGGATGTTTTAGTTGTTTTCTCAATCAAACTAACCTGTGCTGATTAAATTTATAGAAAAAAAATTGTCAACATTATTTATACCACCAAATAAATAAACTATGAAAGATACATCCCATAAGGAATCAAATGATAATTATTTGTTAATATAAACATTAGTATCCATTTGCGTAAATTTGGTCCAATTTTAGACGATTTGACTTAGTATAAAACTTAAGCATCAAGTTTAACATGCAAGGGTATTTCTCATTAGTTTAATTCTTTCAGTAGTCCCTGACCATGAATATGGGCCGTGTTTCTCGTGTGGATGCCTCCCCTTCTTATAAATCAAATTCTTGGTGCTTAGCCCACAACATAGGCTATTTGCGTGTGCGCTGAACCACTACTGAGCAATAGCTAGTATATATTGAACTGAAGTCGCTGCTGCTGCCTTTGTTTGCTCCTGTCTTTTCTGCTTGACACAGCCTAGCTGGTTTCCTGCCTGCTTCACTCCACTCACTACATATATAGTAGTTTCAAAGTCGTTTCAACAAGTGTGCTTCCTTGACTGTTGCATGCATGCTTTTGCTTGCTTTCCATCAGCGGCAGTGTGCAAAAACACAACAACGCCAATGTGTACTAGGACGACGACGGCGATGACGAGAAACATATATCGATCTCTCAGTTGTAAAAGTCCAGTAAAATCAGGTAGGATTCCTCTCAAATCAGATCCTATCTGTAACATGTCAACGCGCGAGCAAGTCTATTTATGCCTTTTTAAGTTAGCCCCCTATATAATTGGGAAAAATGTGATGTATTTTTTTTTCTAACATATATGCTTTGATGTCACCTATCACAGTATCACACCCCATAAAATCTGAATTTAAAACCCAACATATGTACATGGAGAAACGTAAAAGAAAAATCTTATTAAGAGATAGATTGGACTAAAAGTTGCTTTGGGTGCAAATTGAATGCAAAATTAGTTTAGGGGTTATGCGGACAATGTTTTAGGAAGGAGGGAGCAAATTGGACTTTCTCTAAATTTTTAAAAAATAGACCCGCCATTCATCTCTCCATCACCCGAATCGTCCGCTGAGCCTCTTGAGTCCTAGGGACTTAGCCAAATGTTTAGACCGGATCAATCTCTTCGGCGAGTTCCTGAAATTTTCAGGTGAAGCATCACTATAGCTTTCGATGATTCTAGTAGAGCGGATCCATCTACGATTGTGTTGATGTGAGACGATCGCCAGAGTAAACAGTTTTGCATTGACAACTTTTTAAGAATAAAATCATCATCCACCTTAGGTGCAAACTTGGAGATTTTTACGTCTATTGATATGTATGAAACACATGCTCTCAAAAAACACGCTAAAGTCTAACATCTAAGCTTGTTATTGGTTAGGAGCTCATATGAAGTATTCTTCAAGCTAGATCTTGTGGAGATATACACGGTTGGTTGCATGCATGACAATTGACATGACACGTTGTGTTATGTTAACAACGCCTCCATCCAAAATCTTGTACTTATCAAGCATGAATTTCGCCATATCAACAAGTGTTTGATTCTTCCTCTCAACAACACATTAGTCATCGACAACCCTTGTCTTCATTCGAGGAGTTCCATATACCAATGCAAAGCCATATGATAGCTAGTCCTATCATGGTTTGGGAACTTTTTAGAAATAGGCTACAACTCATCACTAGTCCTTATACATGATATATCGTGGCATTGTGTTCTTTTTTTTTTAGCTTTGTGGCCTCATAGGCGACAAGTTATACGATCCTTCTACTCAAAGAAATTGGCACATTCTCAAGGCATCCTGTTGAAAACAACCATAATGCATAACATACATATTAACAAGTAGAGTAACATATATATGTCATGTATATGCAAAAAATATAAAAACACGTCTAGTGTCATATTACATGTAGACTCATCACGAGACTGCTACGCGTTACGTCGCATACGTATTACATACATATATTGGTGTTGGACGTGAATAAATAATGAATCAATTAAGTACTCACTCCATACTAAAAAATAAAGTCGTTTTGGACAGTGACATGGTCTCGTATTACTTTGACTCCTTATTTTTATAAAAATATTTATCAAAAAGTGATATATGTATATTTTTATGAAAGTATTTTTCAAGACAAATCTATTTATATAGCTTTCACATTTCCAAACTCAATAATTTAAAAGTTATTCATGATTTATATTCATAATGTTTGACCCAAGTCTTGTCCAAAATGACTTTATTTTTGAGTACGGAGGGAGTAAGTAATAAGGTAAGGTTGGTATCACTTGCATGCATGATAGATGCATGCACCGGCAACGGCAACACACCATGATCAGTTGGTGTTGTTGGAGAGGAGCGTGATGATGTCCAACGCCACGGTGCAAAGCTGTCGGAGAGTCTCCTCCCTGGCCGCCAGCTCCGGCGGGTAGTCCCCAGGCCTCTGCCGCTGGAACAACACCCTGCACACCTGCGGGTACTCGGCAGCGGCGCTGACGTGCACGGACGCGTAGTCGTAGTTCTCCTGCGCGATGGAGTCCCTGGCGGCCGACAGCGCGTCTCGGGCCTCGCCGTACTTCGTCGCGCACGTGCGGAGCAGCGCCTGCGTGGTGCCGTCGACGGTGGTCGTGGTGTTGCCGCCGGTCGCCAGAGCGACGGCCGTGGCCGCGCCGCCCGAGGCGTTCACGGCGGCGGCGGAGACCGCGATGGACGAGAGGCCTCGCACGTCGGCCGTGGCGCTGGACGGGTCGGCGCCCAGCGTGGACACGCATAGGTCGTAGTAGGCCGTCGAGTTGCACGTGGCGCGGACGAGTCCGGCGGCGGCCGCGGGTGCGGTGGGCGCCGGGGGCGGAGGCGGAGGAGAAGCGGGAGGCGGCGAGCGCTTGTGGCCCTGGCTATGGTGCGGAGACGACGGTCTGGTGCGGGCACCGATGATGCTCGGTGGGAGGAGCGCCAGTAGGGTTAGCACGAGTGCTACCTTCCTGGTGTTGGTGGTGGCTGCCATTGTTGTAGCAATTGCACGAGCAGCTTCTATTTTTGCTCTTGGTTTTGGCTAGCTGCTGCTCAGCTGTTGTCGTGATGAGGTTGAGTTGAGCTGCTTGCTTGTGTTGGAGTGAAGGGAGGATGACGAGGTTTTATAGGAGAAGGGCATGCATGGTAGGCTGCCAATGTTGACTCCAGCAAGCTAAGTGACGGAGTCCACGGTCAGCCACCACCATGCCGCTGTCGCATGCCGTGTATGCTCTCCTCAGTTTCCTCAGTGCTTAACTACCCATATATAGGCTGTTACACTAGTTTGTTAGGCAGGAACAATCTAGAGAGACTATAGCTCCCTGGTTGCTTCTTCCTTAGTAGACTAGCCATCAATAACAGAAATGAACCTCCTTCTAGTCAAGAACTCAAGATAGTTCCGTGTAGACTTGTTTAAGCGTGTTGCATCAGATAGGGTTTGGGGTGGGTTGAAAATAATACTCGATATCTTTTTTTTTTTGGCTGACTTTTGCTTGACCTATTGAGGGTCCTTTTGGCAGGGCTCTTTCTCCATAGCTACTTTGGAGGACCCAGAGCACTTGAATCTAATGATATTTATCTATACAAAATTTTGTATAGATTTATTTTTTGCGAACAAAATTTTGTTTAGATTTGGTTAAACTCAAAATGTTTTTAAGGAAAAAACTCAAAATGGTTTGACTCGGTACTATGTTTGAATTGCATTCTTTTTAGGATGAAAGGACTATTAAGCATTGCATATAGATGTCCTTATAGTTGTAGATTGTAGCACCTGGTTTTAAGGACAAAACCAGATATACACCATATGTGAGCCCAGAAAGTCAAATATCACATATATCTACAAATAAAGGTAAAATCAATAGACAATGCTTAATATATAACATACTTAGTATAAATGATATAACCTTAGATAGCAAACAGCGAAAAGACAACTTCGATCTTCGGGTGAATACTCCAATTCCACAGGGACAACTGACTGGTTGATCACAAGCCTAATTCCTCCAAACTCTAGCAATCTGATACCCATCCGGGATTTTTCTAAAGATTTAAAAAGTAAAGCAAACTACTCAACAAATATAACATGGGGTTCATGAGGCTCAAAAAGCTGATACTGGTTTAACTACGATTAGCTTTTAATGAGTCATCTTTTAGCAATTGGGTGGCAACAAGTTTATTCACAAGCCCATATAAACACATAATCAGGTAAACATGAATAATGAATAGCATAAATAGTAATCATTAGTGAGTATCTTTATCATCAGTATCATCGGTGTTTATCATCTATTCCGTAAGGGTCCAAGGCCGCTAGTGACCGTGAGCACGGCTGATATACTAGTTTTACACTGTAGAGGTTGTACACTTTCACTGTGAGTCATGATTTACCCTTTCGCCCGAGTGAAAGCTCTAGTTTGGTTTTGGTGAATTAATGAAACTCTAAGTGCTAACCTAGTTTATCAAAGTGATTATGAGATAGGTAATACTACTCCAAGTGTTTAAGCAAATGAAGATCATGACATGATGATGATGGTGATGGCATGGTGATGATCAAATACTTAGACTTAGAAAAGAAAAAGAAAAACAAAAAGCTCAAGGCAAAGATGAAATTGATATGAGCTTTTCGGTTTAGTGATCGAGACACTTAGTGAGTGTGATCACATTTAGGATCGATATCCGTACTATTAAGAGGGGTGAAACTAGTATTGAAATACGGTTATCAAAGTACCACTAGATGCTCTAACTCATTGCATATGCATTTAGGATCTAGTGGAGTGCTAACACCCTTGAAAATATTTGTGAAAATATGCTAACACATGTGCACAAGGTCATACACTTGATGGTTGGCATATTTGAGCAAGGGTAAAGAAGATAGAGTTGAAAATGAGTTAGTCGCGTTGGTCACAGAGTGACCGGACCCGTCCGGTGTGTCTACCGGACGCGTTCGATATTTTATCGAGACTTCGGGTAGTCAGACAGGAGTGATCGGACGCGTCTGGTGTGGCTACCCGACGCGTCTGATATTTGGACCCAAAGTGAGTGACTAAGTGAAAGTGACCGGACTCTGGCTCAGTGGAGTGACCAGACGCTGATGAATTACTGTTCAACGTCAGGTCAAAGTGATGTAGGTCGATACTGGATTGTAGAGAGCGACCGGACGCGTCCGGTGTGAACCAGCAAGTCTCAGATTTTGAGTGCAATAATTGATCAGACTCTGGGAGTGTCCGGTCCGGTATGACCGGACGCGTCCGGTCGGCCCAGAGCAGCTCGGGGAGCTCTCTAGACTCGACCAGACGCTGCGTCTCCCGCGTCCGGTCGGCCCAAGAGCGTCTCTGGGAGCTCTCTAGACTCGACCGGACGCTGCCCCTCCTGCGTCCGGTCGTCCATACCGGACGCGTCCGGTTGCAGTTGGGTGTGGGACTCGTGGCAGCAATGGCTACTTCATTTGAATGGGACACGTGGCGGTCAAGCAGTGACCGAACGCAGCGACTGGACGCACATGACTTACGCGTCCGGTCATCCCACAGTCAGCCCAATAATTGAGCCAACGGCTCTATTGTTTGGGGGTGTCTATAAATATCGTTTGGCCAGCTCTAGCTCACTCTCTTGGCCATTTGCATTGACATAGCAACCTTGTGAGCTTAACCAAAGCCCTCCCACCCATCTCCATCATTGATTCATCATCTTTGTGAAATTGGGAGAGAATCCAAGTGCATTGCTTGAGTGGTTGCATCTAGAGGCACTTGGTGTTCGTGTTTCGCTGCCGGATTCGCTTGTTACTCTTGGTGGTTGCCGCCACCTAGATGGCTTGGAGCAGCGGAGGAGGATTGGCACGAGTTGGTGATTGTTCGTGGTCATCTTCGATGATTGTGAGGGGACTTGTGCCTTCCCCGGTGGAGCACCGAAAGGTAACCCTAGTGGATTGCGCGTATCATTGAGTTACCTCACTTGTGGGTAGGTTCTTGCGGTGTCCAATTGTGTGGACAAGGTTCGTGCAACACCTCTTAGCTGCGGAACCACCAAGTGTTGGTCGACACAATGAGGACGTAGCATGTTGGCAAGTACGTGAACCTCGGGAGAAAATTGGTTGTCTCTTGTCCTTTGATATTCTCCTAGTGATTGAGTTAGTATTCATCTTGTGATTGGTTCACTCCTCTACGCGGTGGTATAATGACCCTACTTACTCATTTACATACCCGCAAATTAGTTGTAGCAAGCTCTTTAGTGTAGCTAGAATTGAGAGCTTGCTTTGTAGCTTAAGATTATCTAGTGGAGCTCTTTAGTGTAGCAAGTGTGAGAGCTCTTAGTGAGTAGTGACTTAGTAAATTGTGTGTTTAGTGATCATAGTAACTAGAATTATTGGATAGGTGGCTTACAACCCTTGTAGAGCTAGAGCAAGTTTGCTTTTCGCTACTTGTCATACTAATCAAATTGCTGTAGTTGGTTTGTAGATTTTTTTAAATAGGCTATTCACCCCCCTCTAGCCATATTCGGACCTTTCACCGAGGTAGCTAATCTCTTGACCCACTTTCAAGGAAGGTCGATAGGGTTCATTATGAAGCCTTTCAAAGGTTCGTCTAACAAGTTAGGGCCATTAGATTCACTCGGCAAACAGATGTAGGAACCCCCCTTTCCGATGGCACAATGACCGTAGCCTATACACAAGGGAACAGAGGTTGTCCTATACCCGATTCGGCAAGCCATTCTTATGCCAATAAAGGTAACCTCTAAGAAGTTAGAAAAGGTCCTCATACTGAGCTAAAGTCAGAGCCATATAGCCCCTACAGCTGCACTGTAAGTCCCAGATATTCGCTTACAGATAAGTCCTTAGGGAGAGGAATCTAGAGCACCATAAAAACAACCCAATGGTCTAGCCCCCTGATTCCATGTTGCTAAAAAACATCTTTTAATGTTTATTGCATATACATTAGTCAAGTTACAAGATCATGGGTTTGGTTGAGCACTAGCATCATACTATCCAATGCAATAACCCGTAGGTATCAAGGCACAAGGTACAAAGTACTAGGAAATCCTTAGTGGTAGTCAAGGTAGACACATGCAGCATGAATTAAATGATTAAAGGTGTATAGGACAACAAAGAAGATCCCATGCTATACTTGCCTTAAACTTAGATCCTTCTTCAAGTCCAAAACTTCAAATATCTGCTTCTTGATTCACCACGTATAGCTCACCGACTGGACATAATCATAAAGCACCACACAAGCATCCATGCAATCATACACGAAGTAAACAATAGATCTAAATTAGAACAATACACCAAACATAAAATCAAGATGAAAAATTTGTAAAACGAATCTACGTCTCGCTACGAACACACAGACGTGAAAAGCACTCTAATCAGAGCTATAACGAAAAAGATACATCTACCGAAAGATTTACTTTATACATGGAAAAGAAAACTATAGTCTTTATTTATTTTATAAAAGTATATATAGAATATTCTATACAAATATCTAAATCATATTAAGTCAAATTAGTTTTGATTTAGAAAACCAAGAGAAAGCTAATCTTACTTTATTTAGAAAAGATTGGAGTGAAAAACTTAAGTTGCTTTTAATCAGAAAAGTAACTACATATAGATTAATTACTATTTTATTCAAAAGCTTTAAACATGTTAAAAAAATGCCACTAATACATAGTGTCGAGGACCTAATACCGGGGTACCCAATGAAGTGGAACTAATAACCATCGAACGTTGACGCTTCCTGTCAGACAAGAACGCTACTACGCTTCTTGCCCAAACGATGGAAGATTGGTTCCGCCTTGCCCGACCCCTGAGGGCTGGCTCCGCCTCGCCCGACAGTTGAGGGCTGGCTCCACCTCGCCCGACCCCTAAGGGCTGGCTCTGCCTCGCTCGACGTTTGAGGGCTGGCTCCACCTCGCCCAACGACTGCGCCCTGCTCCTTCATAAAGACGAGCATAGGGTACGACAAGACATTCGAGTCAACTGCAGTACCGAGAGCAATGTCCTGCATGCCT